TGCTGCCTCAATTATTTAAATACAGTACCTCAATTCAACTTCAGCAAATTAAATCGTTTTTTTTTTTAAGGCATCCTTAACTGAATTCTGAATGGTGCTCTATCTATCTAACAATTTAAGGCATGATGTGTGCTGTGCATGAATTACTGTTTATGCCTATGTAGAGTTTTAAACCATTCACTTGTGAGGTTAAATAATGTTTGGATGCTGTGGGAGGTGTCACGTCCCACTTAGAACAAGTTCAGTTGAGGATAAACCGAAACAAAGCACCCCGAGGGACTTGTAAGCAGCTCCTTGAGTCTATCGCAGTGAGGAGGGAGATTGGAGAGTGTCCTCTTTCAGACCTACTGATAAGAGTTTAGCATTTTCAGAGTTCTGGGCGGTCTGGTAAAGATGGCCCAGGAGGGAATACACTCTTGTTCTTCATGGAAAGGAAGGACACATTACATACAGACTAGATAAGTGTGCGTGTCGCTGTGTTGACAAGCTAATCGGATGATTCCGTTAGGGCAGAAAAGCTCTTTTATATATACACTTCTCTTTTTTTTCTGTTAAAGCGCTGCATTTCAAGTACCCCTTCTTTACAAGCAGCTACTTTGTTGAGTATGTGTGATGGGTTTGTTTTGCCCTTCTCCCTTTGGGCTACTGTCATTGTCTGAGTTTTAGATTTGTGTCTGTGTGGCCGTGATCGTCCTTCACTTCATGCCGTGTAAACCTCTTGAAATCAGGGGCAGACAGCAGCGAAACTCAGATTCCCAAATCAATGTAGCTTCTTTGTGTATTGACATTTAAACTTCATTAAAAGTGCTACAACTGATTCCCTGTGGTGGGTTACGTTCAAAGAGCTATTTATTTAATGTGGGACAATTCAAAAAATACGACACATACCGGGGGCCCTGGTGGTCCGGGTTGACCTGTATTAGCTGCGCCATTCTGTAAATAATACAAAAGGATTACTGCAGTTTATGAAGTGTGAACAATATGACATATATATTGCATACTAAAATATTGTGAGTGTGTTTTAGTATCAGGTTAAAGTTTTACCTGAAGTTTATAGAGACTGCTCATCCCATTGCCGTCTGCATATGGGACACCCTGAAAAGAACAAATTTACAAGGTTTTTCGCATGTTGCTAGGTGGTTGCTTATTGGCTCAAGTCAAAATAACCTGCCCAAATCAATATGATATTATGGTTTCCAGATATGTCATAGGTTCCTCCTTCAAATACAAGTCAATGAGATTTTTCTCCTTATTTATCATCAACCAAGCTATAAAATCATAAGGGAAACAAACTAAATAGGAGTCTAAAATTGCGGTGTTGTTTGCATTTCTTGGGCCACTGATGTGGTTATGAAATTATGGCTATCAATTTAATGTATTAGAGCATTGCATACTGTTTACATTTAAATTTTTTATTTCCTTATGCTTGTTTGAAATGAGCTGGAGTGTTGAAGAAAATTGATTTTGCATATTTAATGTTCACTGAAATGACAGCCACATGGTTACGTGGGCTGCTGAAGCTAATATTTAGGTCTGAACCTGTATAAAAAGCTACAAATAAAAGTATTCAAAAAAGTATTTTATTTGATTAAAGCACACTTTAGTCAAATACCCATCTTCACTTACACCCATCTCATTTATAGCTGATTTTTTTTTCTATATACACAATTATTTTTCTCCATTCTATCTTTATATGCAGAGATAACTATGAATAAACCACTTGTAGGCTGATTTTCCCAAAAAGGATAAATACTGGTGCACTATCAACACATTGCTTATTGTTTTTAAAACTCCAACCATGTGATGCTAGATTGGGGCGGAGCTATCTGTTTGGCGACCAATGAAAGACAGCAGGAAGAGTTATGGAAACCTATAGGAAAGCATTCGTTATTTTTGCAATTATGTTTGCAATTCCTAGTGGTGTAGAAAATGCACACTTTAATTCAGAACTTACAGGGGGTCCAGGCGGTCCGGGTCTGCCTTGCAGTCCTTCGCTGCCCTGGAACAAATATACATTTATTTTCTTTACACGCATAACACAAGCTCCCTCTCCAAAGAAAGTATGTGATTGCATTGAGAGTCAAGGCCAACTGCAGTGTTAGCAAATGCTGTGAATAATAACAGGTGTCAGATAGAGGATTTGGAAGTTTTGAGGATAGACTTGGTGCCCCTTGGCTCTATTGGGTTGGCTCTCGGTGGAGCAGACCAGCTGATGAAAACCAATGAAAAATGCTTCTATCCCCTTTCTAGTGCATATCTGCACACCGCAGGGCACACCACTAGCTCATATTCACTATCTCCTGCTAACCGTTTGTGAGAGTATTACTCCAGCCAATTATCAGGAAGTGTGTGTGACTCATACAGATGCAGATGGGTCAAAGAATCATAATGTTTGGAAAAGAGAAAAAGATATGCCTTACATTTTGGTTTAATCCCACTATAAAATTCAGTTTTACTCTGGAATTTTTAAACATAACATTTAAGATGATATACATAAATAAACAATTTTATTTTGTTTAGTCTATAAACCAAACATTTAAAAATATATATTATTTACTCACTCTCATGTTGTGCTAAACCTGTATAACTTTCTTAAGTGGAATACAAAATGAACCATTTTAAAGATTAATTTTTTGGCATTTTCGCCTTTATTACAATAGGACAGAACAGAACTGACATGAAGCGAAAAGGGAGAGAGATGGGGGGAGCAGGATCGTGAAAGGTCCTCGAGTCGGGACTCGAACTTAGCGCAGCAGCGCTGTATGTCAGCACGCTGTCCACAAGCTAACGACGCCGACAAAATGAACCATTTTAAAGATAAAAAAAAGGAACAAAGCAATCATGAAAATGGTTCATTCGCACTATATTTCAGGCCTTCTGAGAACATATGATCATTTTGTGAAAGAAACGGTCCAAATTTTAATTCTTTATTCTTTTTTTCCCCTCAACAGCAGCCCCCAAATCTAGTGTTCACTTATGCACTTGACATTAACCATGTCCATAATGTATATTCTATGGAAAAGTATAGCATGAACAGTTTGCAAACATCTCACTGTGTTCCACAAATAATTATATTATGTCTGGGTTTGAAATAACTATCTTTTTTTTAAAGTACTTAATATTATTTAAAAATCTTAAAGCAGAAATTATCACTTAATTATGCTTACCTGTTCTCCCTTTGGTCCTAGGGGCCCAACAGGTCCTGGTCTGCCAATAAGTCCCTAAATGCAGAGGAATATGCATGAGGTTATTTTTGATTAAATAGCCAAAATTAAATCATAAAAAATTAAATAATTATTTTTATTAATTTTATTTATTTTTTTGACAAAAAAAATGTAGTAGCCATGTAGTAATTATGAAGTCATGATAACATTTATTTTTGTTGGAAAATTTTCACCTGTGGACCCATGCGGCCTGTGGATCCAGGCAATCCTGGCACACCTGGGGACCCCTAGGAATAGAGAAACAGTTAAAAATAATTGTAGTAATAATTGTATTGTATGATAATGCATTCTCTAACCTTGGACCAATTAACTGTGCGCTTGGGGCTAAACTTCAACAGAAGTTTATTTAAATACCTATGCAAACTGCTCAAACAAATAAAATCATTTCATTTCAGACGCAGTGTTAAAAAAAAAAAATGTAGATAGGCAGCAGTACAGTAGTCAACTATGATGCATCAGACAACTTTACAAGGATTAGTTTAGATTTGTCGCATTGCACCGTGTAATTCTGATAACTCACCTCATCACCCTTATCCCCCATCGGACCAGGAAAGCCTCTCTCACCCTTCACTCCCTATATGACAACGAGACAGATGGAAAATAGTTGAGACAGTAAGTACAATCTTTTGATTGAGTTTCTCTCTAAGAATGCTCTCATATATTATTCATGTTTATCTCTGGCCTCAATTCTTGCCTGTCACTGAATGTCTCACATTCAGACACTCGACTGTACAAGTATGCAAACCATTTTTTGCTACAATTGTTGCACCATGTGTAATATATTTGCCTTGCAATGCCTTGTTGTAACAGAGGAAATGTACTTCAAGAATTACAGCTAAAGCGCATGTGTCTGCCAATCACGATTCTCTTCTCTAATCTCTGATTTAGGGCGGCTTACCTTGGGACCCTCTTTTCCAGGATTACCAGCTGGGCCCCGAAGACCCTGATCCCCCTGTCAAAGCCAAACCAGAACATAAGGAGCCAGATCCACAAGACAGACACAAGAATATGCAGTAGTGCAGCAAAGTATTTGAACACTTAGGCTACAGTTAATGTATGAATGTCAACATGTTAAATAATTAAATATCAAACAAAGCGGGATTCATTTTAAAGAATGAGAGCACAAGCTCATATAAGGACCAGGATTAAAAACCACTGTTTCATATTATATACTAGGGCTGCACGATAAATCGCATGCGATATTTAATGTGCATTTTATCAGTAAAGCCGGTTCTGTAATGTATTAAATAACTGGACTGCACAAATGTATGGTGTATTTGTGTCTATAATGGTGCCATCTATAAACAATCAGCCAGAAAAGATGACAGCAATCAGTGCTACACAGTAAGTTCAGCAGTGTAATATTTGCAGTTTTAGAAGTTATTAATTCCCAAAGAGCTGAATTAACAATCTACAGTGTTAAACAGTACTCATGCTCAGTGTTGTTATATGGTGTAACTTCACTTTTACACTGAAAGTGCGGAATAAAAAATCCCACATTTAGAAATGACTAACTGCGCGTGTTTTTGTCAGGTTTAGTGTTAAGTTCGTGTTCCTGAGGTGCAGTAACGTTAAGTTACAGAAGAGTGTGAAAGTTTCTCATGCCGGTCCGATTTCCTGAAAAAAGGTGATTAACTTACGTGTAAAATAACTTTTTGGAATTTGCTTACAATTTATGTTATATATGCTTTTAGCTTCTTTCATTTTGGTTCGCTGACACATCCTCTCGCCTCCATTCCCGCCGAGGCCTGGTTTTACTACGAGTCTGGCACTGGAGTCTGAAGCAACCACATTTGGGCGGTTTTCTACTCAAATGAGAGAATTCATCAAATGGTGAATTTATATTTGTTTTTGAAAGCATTGAGTGTGGCATTTCGCTGTTTCCATGCTTTGAAACGGTAACAGTGGAACTGTTAAACATTACGCGCTAACAATTTAGTTTTTGTGACGCATGACACCGTGTTGAAGTGTCTGTCTCGCCCACTGCAAACGAGTAGTCTCTCTGTAGACAGAGCTGGCATAACGCGGAACATTTACCAGTCATTTTATTGACGTTATCTAATGCAAAACTCTGAAATTAGAGCGCGTTTAAAAAACGTACATTCGCCGTAGGCTTAGTGTGAACTGCGTAATCTGTACGTTCTCAGCGCTGAATATCATGTCTGTCATATGGTCATATCTGCGTCAAGACACAAACGCGCTACCATCAAGTTTTTCTTATGACAATTACGTTTATGCAAGCATCGTGAAAGTGAGTTAAAGGTACGTTAAACTGTAAATCCGTCAGTCTTTCAATTTCCTTCAGTGCCCACTGGCAGAGCATGCAGGTACTTTAGCTTGAAACCAGTCTTTATCAATTCATATGGCATGCTATTTTGGGTTAAATAATGTCCTAAATATTTCCAGATATACAAAGTTAAGTTTTAATGGAGAAATATGTCTGAATCTATCTGTATTTTCTTTTCACATTATAAATAATAAATTAATAGTAAGATAAATTCTTAACGCGTGTTAATTTATTCTAATGTAGTACAGTTAATTTTAAGATGCCTTATTACTCATTTAAAATTATACAAATGTATTTAATAACCAGATTAAATAAATACTTAAATTGTTGCAGGCCTCCATGTGAATATTGCACAATGTTTCATTTAATTGACCCTAGAATGATGTAAAAAAAAAAAAAAAAAAGTTTACGATTTGACACCCGTATTATAGACAGTTCTCAGCACACTCAAAATTAGGGGTAATCACAATTATTTTACCATATTTACAGTCCTAATGTAAATTTAAATTACTGAAATAAGTGTTTTTTTAATCCTTTTTCAATAGAATTGGCCCAGACTTCTGCAGTGTCAAGTGAAGGAAGCTCCTCTCATAAGATTGCAAACTGGGAGTCTGATGACACTGAGCGTGAGTGATGGAAGCCCTTCGAGAGAGGAGCAGAAGGCTGAAGATGAAGCCAGAACTGTGAGTTTGTGTCATTTATATGTTATTCTATGTGCAGTACAAATTTAAACCGCACAAATGAATATGAAAAATGTAAGTAACTGTGCAGGCACACAATATCAGCTTATGTTCACACCTGGAATTTACTAATTATTAATTTAAGATATCAAACTGCAAAAAGATAAATGTTTAGTTGACCCAAAAACTTTTCATTATTTCTTACTCTCTGTCATTCCAAACCGGCAAGACTTGCATTCATTTTCAAAACACAAATGAAGATATTTTAAATGAGAAAATGTCCTTCCATCGACAATCTACACAACTACCACTCTGATACTTCAAGAAGTTCATAAAGAGATCATAAAACGAATCCAAATGAATCGAGTGGTTTAGTCCAAATTTTCTGAAGCGACTCGATCGCTTTACAATGAACAGATTTCTTTTTTCACATTCAAACATTGATCAGGGAACATAAACAGAAAATTTGGACTAAACCACGATACGTATGGATTAGTTCTCTTTATGGATTAGTTCTCTTTATGAAGTTTATGAAGTATCAAAGTGGTAGTTGCGTGGACAGTCATTCAAGGGACAGAAGTCTTATATTCTAATATCTTCAATTGTGTTTCAAAGATAACAAAAGTCTTGGCTGAGTAAACTGATGAAATTTTCATTTTTGAACTAAGCCTGTAATAAAAGAATGTGGCCATATGCGTCACCCAAGATGCGTGCTAATGCCAGGTGTGAAGAGAGCCACTGTGTGACTACACAATCAGCTTAGCAGAATGGCTCCTGAGAGAGAGATTGTTGTCATTAATTGTTTTTTCTTTTTTCTTTTCAAGAAGCCAAGTTCCTGGCTTCTCCCAAGACCTTCAAGGACCCAATTAACCTCGGAATCAGCTGTAAAGGAGAATGAAACCGATGTCTAAGGTTAGACTATATTTCAGAATAAGATTATCTATATTAATGCTTTATCTATATTCTTTGTTTATGCATTTTTTTGCTAAAGTTGTCATATCTGTTATTTAGAATGGGACAGCGATATTGCATTAATTGGTCTCCTTCGTCATTTGGTTCCACTCTCACCACAAGACTGCAAGGGACCTGGAACCATGTCCTCCTATCAAGCTGAAAAACATTTTCAAAAAGGTACATTTGGACATTTCTGTCACTACCTATTGTCTGCCTCAAAATATTGCCAGATGGGTTGTACATGAAAGACTAATGTAAATCAAATCGGTTGGAGAGCTGACCTTGAGTGTTATTTTTGTCTTTGATCTGCAGGCACTAACAAGAAGAACAGCTTGATTGCATGGAAGAGACCACACAGCTATACCTGCTCGCTGATGGGACAACGAGGAACATCATTCATGGATGCTACACAACTGTCAAATCTACCTGTCATATTTGTTCATGTCTAGGTAAACTTCATGATTTTGTGTTTTATTAACTATTTTATGTTTCTGTGCAACACTTAATGAATGTGACTGACTAATTAACCTCTACACATCTGATATGTTTTAAAGTTGCCACTTTGCCCATTTGTTAAATAAACGTTGAAATTTATACATCTGTCTGAAGACTCTTGATTTTATGTCTAATCTTGTACATTAACACCATACAATAGCATTTTTTGTTTGCACTGAAAAGAGTACTTTATTAATAACACTTAAAGGATTAAAACAACACCAGGGGTGTTAAATACCCCATAGTGTAAAATTTAAACAACAATAGCAAGTGTAACACTTTACACTCGGGGTGTAATTTTTCTACACTGTAAAATTCAACACTATGAACGGTGTACTTTTAACACTAGACAGATTGGGACCATATGATCTTTAGTAGTGTTAAAATCGACACTTTAAGTGTTAAATTGACACTGCGTTTTTTTACTGTGTAGGGAATCTCAGGTGAAGGAGCAGAATACTAATTAGTGAGAAGATTAAATGTGTTTGCAGCCATTTTTACCTTTTCTCCATCCATTCCTGGGATACCTGGAGCTCCAAGGGAACCTTTTTCTCCTTTCTGCCCTGGCAATCCTGGTACTCTGGTTTGACACACACTGCAGGCGTTCTGCCAAAATCACAAACACACACAGAAATCTTTCTCTCTTTTAATCTCATTCTCCTTCTGTTCAGGTAAGCTCAGGATGCAACACATCTCAAAATTAAGCTTTTTTTTAGTTCCACATATTCAGATAGGATCCATCATATACAGCGGCCTGTGATTGAATTATGCAGATGAGAAAACTTAAAAGGATTTTCTCGAATGCTGAAACAATCAAAGCATATCAAACTAAAATTTGGCAGATAAAATGAGTTTTATTTTAAATGCAAACTTTTCCAGTTTTAAAATACATATCACACATCTTAGTGATTTGCTAATGTATAAAACATAGTAAATTATTGCTCTAAAAACAATTAAAATTAAGCAAAATGGTAGCACAGAAATATTTTTGTGGACTAAACTGCGTCAGATGTTAAAGTTGTGTCAGTTGCTCAACTAACAGTTTTAGTATGCCTTAGAATGCAGGAAATATGAATATAAAACATACAAAACCTATTTAGCTGAATATGAAAGTCCTGAATAATATGCAACAAACTGAAGTTCTGAAATGGTACTGTGCATTTGTAAATGATCTCATTCATCTTTATATTTTAATTTAAAATGGTTTAAAAATTCACCAATGATTCAACTTACACCTTGACATGGACGATGTTTTGACATTTCGAGAAGTGATATTTCTATGATTATGTCATAAATGCTTCCTTATAATTTTATAGTAGATATTCTGAAAGATGATGAGAAGGATTCATTTGACCTCCATCTCATTTCTTCTAAAAGACGACTTAAGAAAAACATGGCACAGTTTACCTCACTCTTAATGTGAAAAACACTAAACAGACTCCAACGTCCTTTTTTGTGCTCATGAGCTCTAGACAGGTTTATCTGCTTCTGACCTTTATTGCATTAATGTTTGCCAATCTGGATTTATGCTTTTACCAGCTTTCATAGACACATATGGCACAGCAATCTAGCTTTGCACACAGCTAAAAACGCTAAAGGTCAATCCCAAAGTTACAAACAATTCACAGGCAGTGATGCATTAGGGAAGCACACATTTTTTTTCCTAAGCCTTTTCCCAAGATTTTAACCTTGCCAGCTTGATGCATTCACCTCAATACATTTGCCCAATGATACAGAAAGAAACAGGAAAAGCAGAAGTGAAGGTGCTTTCAAAAGCGGTTTTGAAACTCCGGGGCTAAGTAAGCAACCTTTTTCTCTTCTGCTCTTTAAGAGTGAAACTGTATACTTGCGAAGCGTAATCAATGGTTTACCGTAATGGGTTGCAAGGATTGCATTGACCTTTCACATTGGATGCACTTTTCGTACGTGGAACCAACGTTTATCTGAAGGTAGCAATTTACTAGTGCATTAGTCCGACCTGTTCAATAAGAGCAGGGCGATTCAGGAACCCCATTTATATTTGTGTTCTTTGTGCAAGACTGACAATTAGCAAATTGCATGTGACCGACATAGCATTAGAGGAGAAAAGAGGAAATTCGTACACATTCAAAAAAGGTTTCAACAGGGACAACACCTTAAAAAAAAAAAAAAAGAGCTTGAATGCTTTGACATTTTTAGATTTCGGCATTAAACTGTGAATCGGATCTTCATTATAAATAACAATTATAGACAATTAGAAAAAATAATCAAATAAATAACAAATTTATTTAAGGAATATTTCACCGAACAATTAAAATTGTGTTAGATGTTAGACAGAATGTCAGAGCTGCTCTATACCATAAACAGTGACTGATAATTAATAATGCCAAATAAGAAAAGTTTTTATGCTAAAAAATTGAAAAGTAAAATAAAATAATAAATTATAAAAAAAAAAAAAATAGTGTAAAAATAGTCCCATATGGCTTTTTCTCAAATCTTGCAACAGTTCACTTAAGTCGTAGACAAGCCGTGCTCACAATTTTTATATAGTATTTTATAGTGCTTTTTGAAATTGCAGGTATATAAAGCATCTACTTTTGTTGTGTAAAAAAGAGCGGGTTGATATCTGCATATATTCTTTTGTGTTTCACAAAAGACAAAAATTGAGAATAACACGCTTGAATATGATTGGGGGGTTGAATTATTCCTTTAAATACACAACAAAATTATTATACACAGCAAATTGTTTTGGTAGTATTTCCTCATTTTTATTTTATTCCTTGTTTTTTTAAATTAGGTAGAAGAGAGAATGCCCTCAAAAAATATTTATTTATTTATTGGGTGACATGACCCAGCTTGACTCTTGCTCCAATTCAAAATCTGTAGAAAGCAGTCATTAACTTGCTTGTTCTTTTGACATTTAAGTATGTTTTAATGCATTTCCTTTTCTTTGTTTATGAAGACACATCAAATCCAAACCGGAGATGAATTACAGTGCATAAGCTATTGTAAGTAGCTCTGTGTGTTGTTGTGTTTGACAGTTCAGTCCTAAGAATCTCACTGCATCAGTATTTGAGCATATGGGCATTTATCTTGTCAGACGTTTCTTCGCATAGAGATGAATGCATGATGCCCAAACAGAAACATAAAGAGCAGTGGAGGAAGACAGAGCAGAAAGTACTTATAAGGAGAAATCAAAGGGAGAGCAGAGAGAGAATGTTTCTTTTTCTAAGTGCTGAATACACATGAATGTAAAGAGTTTGAAAGAGAGCAACGGAGCAGACAATGAAATAATTTATAGAAGCCTTAAAAATTTCTTCAGAGCGATTTCAGTTCAAATTGGGCTTTATATCCCCACTGGCTATATTATGTAATTTGTGTTTTGTTACTAAAATATTGTGTAATTGTGTAATATAATAGGAAAGGCAATGTTCCTGAAATCTTCTGGTTTAATAGAGGGGAAAAAAATGCTTCCTCTAGGTTACACGGGATAAGATCTGTCTTAAGATCCACACAATCTGACTGAAGGGAACAGAGTTTAAAATAGATTTTTAAATACCTTCGGTTTGAGATGCCAGGTTTCAAGGTCTGCAAAAGTCTTGCTGATATGCATCTCAAAGGAAACTTTTTGGGTGCATAAGACCTAGCAGTAAATTCAGCATCTTTTCTTTATTTTATTTAGTTTTGTTCATCCTAATTCATACTATTAATGTTAGCATCCACTAGACTGCAGTAAAAATAAGTGCACAGGAGGATAGACAGCTGGATGAAACAGTACCTTCAGTAATGTCCCCATGTCTCCAACAATAGGTAGTGCTGTCTGAAAAAGAACCATTTAGAGCATCATTAGATACAACATTAGAAAATGAGACGCAATACAAACAAATATTTATTTTATTCCCCAATATCGTAATACTATACTATTTTCATTAGCAGAGCAAAAATAAACAAAACAACTGTACATATTGTGTGTACCTGGATATTAACTTTATGTTTCTAGAAATATCCAGAAAAAGACAATATCAGCATGTTAAAAAAACATGTTACGAACCGGTTCTCCAGGGGGTCCAGGGGGTCCTGGTCTGCCTTGTGGGCCTGGAGGTCCCTTTCAGATTAAGACACAAAAACATATATGAATATAAGTATTCTTTATATAAAATAATTCTTAGATATAAATATTTTGATATTTTCACCTTGTGACAAATTTGGACTCAAATAAATAAAATAATTTCTCACCATAATTCCTTGCACTCCAAGTAGTCCTGGAGGTCCACGAGGACCCTGTGAAAATAACACCATCATGTAAATTCACTTGCTTCAAGATTTTCAACACAATCTAGATTGAAACTCTGTGTTATCTTTTTTTAACATCTTAAAAAAATATGTAATATCAATGTATAAGTACATTATAGGGGTGTGAATCTTCACTGGCTTCACGATTCGATTCGATTACAATCATCATGTCAACGATTCAATTTGATATC